ATGTGATAATTACACCGGTAACCACAACAATTGGACATGTAACATATTCGCACGAAGTCATAGAGGAACTCACAATCAAGAAGTATCAAAACAATAAGGAAGGCAATCACTTCAATTAAGACAATTAAGGGTCAATGTAACACGTGAGAATTAAAGGAAAGCTAACAACGTCATATGGAGCATATAGAGGTAATTTAAGCAACTAGGAAACCCAATCATAACATGATACTTTCCACATAAGGACCTAAGAACCCTAGAGCAAATTTCCCGCAAATAAGTCCGAGCACCCACTCGTCACCTCGCATGCACGGACTACAATTAGCATAAAAGACTCAAATCCTAAGGGGAAGTCCCCCACACAAGGTTAGGCAAGATACTTACCTCAATCCGGCCAATTCAATACTCAATTTAGCTTTTCCGTCACCAATTCATCAACGCTCGGCTCAATCTAGCCAAAAACGACTTGAATACATCAAACAATGCAAGAGAAAACAATTTCAATTGACAAAACTATGATTCTTATACAATTTGCAAAAAGTCAACTCCCCGGGCCCGCACCTCGAAATCCGAAAAAATTTACAAAAATCGAACACCCATTCCGCTACGAGTTCAGCCATACAAAAATTATCTATTTCCAATACCATTTGGTCATTCAAATCATCATTTTATATTTTTGAAAGATTTCACAATTTCCCCCAAATTTTCCTTTAGATTCTCATGAATTTGATGTTAAATCTAAGATATAATCACGAAATATAGTTGAAAATTGATTAGAGACACTTACCCAATGATTTGGAGAAGTTTGGGTCCTTGTAAAATCGCCCATGGAGGTTTAGGGCTTGAGAAAATTGAAAAATGGGTGAAAATCTCGTCAAAAACCTCACTTAACAGGTCTCAGATGTCGCATTTGCGACCCAGGGTTCGCATTTGCGAACCCCTCGCAATTACGAACAACGCAGGGCTGGCAAAAGTCGCTTTTGCGACAAAAATCTCGCATTTGCGAACTGGGCATCGCAAATGCGATAAAATGTTCGCATTTGCAACCACACCAGAACCAGCAATTTTTCTTGACACGAAAATGAGCATAACTTCCTCATACAATGTCCAAATTCGATGATTCTTTTTCCTATGGATCCGTAATCGATACGGATCTAATGATTTAAACAAAACTGAATTTGGATCTCATTGGTCAAAGTGGTGTTATTTTTGCTTGAAGAAACGACGATGAAGCATCCAAGAACAAGCGCAACAAAGCCTAAACCTATCCGAAACTCACCAAGCTCTCGGGGCTCCGAACCAAACATGCACGCAAGTATAAAAACATCATACGGACTTGCTCGTGCAATCAAATCATCAAAATAATATCAAAAACTATGAATTTAACCTCAAAACTCATGATTTTCTAACTTTTCAACCGGACGTTCAAATCACGTCAAATAAATTCCGATTTTCACCAAATTTTACAGATAGGACTTAAATATCATAACAAACTTGTAGCGGGCTCTGGCACCAAAATACGGGCCCGATACCAACAGTTCAAACAATAATTCATTTCTTTATTTCCTTTAAAAAACCAGCACAACAATTTTCTTCAAAAATTATTTTCTAAGGCTAGGGACCTCGAAATTCAATTCTGGGCATACGCCCAAGTCCCATATTTTACCGTGGACCTACCAGGATTGTCGGAACACAGATCCGGGTCCGTTTACCAAAATTGTAGACCAAAGTCAACTAAAAACCAAATTTTAACTCTAAAAATTACTATTTTTTTTTCATATTTTCACATAAAAGCTTTCACGCCTGGACTGCGCACGCAAGTTGATTCACATAATATGAAGCTACTCGAGACCTCAAACTGCCGACCTGGGCGCAATTGCTCAAAACGACCAGTCGGGTCGTTACAGAGAGTTGTAGCCTCGTTCTCCCATTTACTACTCCTTTAATATTCTACGGCTGTTATATGACTTACCGGGTTAGTTGGTTTGGTTCGGAGAGATTTCAGAGTAAATTGTGACACTTAGTTTCCTAATTGAAAGTTTAAGTTGGAAAAGTTGACTGGATGTCGGCTCATGTATAAACGACCTCGGATTTAAGTTTTGATGGTTCTGTTTCCTCCGTCGGGTGATTGTGGATTTAGGAGCGTGTCCGAATTGTGATTTGGAGGTCTGTAGTAGAATTAGGCTAGAATTGGTGAAAGTTAAAATTTTGGAAAGTTTGACTGGGAGTGGACTTTTTGATATAATTGGATTGGATTTCCGGTTTAGAGTAGGTTCATGGTGTCATTTATTTGACTTGTGTGCAAAATTTGAGGTCAATCGGACGTGATTTAATAGGTTTCGACGTGATTTATGGAATTTGGAAATTTCGAAGTTTATTAGGCTTGAATCCGTGTGCAATTCGTGCTTTTGATGTTGTTTGAGGTGATTTGAGGGTTCGACTAAGTTCGTATCGTGATTTAGTGACTTGTTGGTATGTTTGGTTGAGGTCCCGGGGGCCTCGGGTTGATTTCGGGTGGTTAACGGACTTGGTTTTGAGTTGGTAAAATAGCTGAAGTTGCTGGTTTTTGGCTCATCTACTTTCCTCTTATGCGTTCGCGAGGGAGGTCTCGCATTCGCGAAGTGTACTTGGAGGGTGATGGAAGTTTGTTCTTCGCGTTCGCGAAGAGGATTACTCATTTGCGAAAGTGTGGTTGGTAGAGCCATCGCGAACGCGAGAAGGGTAACGCGTTCGCGAAGAGGAGCGAGGCAGGTGGGGACCCTAGCCTTTTGGTCTATGCGTTCGCGTAAGGGTAGTCGCGTTCGCGGAGTGAAGGCTCAGCGAAGCATCGCGTTTGCTGTTGGTTGGACGCATTCACGAAGAAGGTTTTGGGCGTCAGAATCATTTGTTTTACGCGAACGCGAGGGAAAGGCCGTGTTCGCAATGAAGGAATAATTAGGCAAAGTGTTAAATTTCTAAAACGAGGGTTTGAACCCATTTTTCATATTTTGAGCTAGAGACCACGGATTTGGGTGATTCTTGAAGGGATTTTTAAGGAGTTGATTGTGGTAAGTGATTCTTACTTGGTTTTAGCTAAATTCCATGATTATGACTTTAATTCCGTCATCTAATTTGTGATTTGAGGTGGAAAATTGGGGAAAAAAGGAAGAGTTCTTGAGTTAGATTTTTGAGGTTTTGAATGGGATTTTGTTATCGACTATGAGTAAATTTGGTATGGTTAGACTCATGAGTAAATGGGCTTTCGAGTTTTGTGATTTTTATCGGATTTCGAGACGTGGGCCCCAGGGGGCCGGTTTGAGCCAATTTCGAATTTTTTGCTATAATTTAGTACTTTTCTTGTGGAATTGATCCCTTTAGCCTATATTGATTGTATTATACTACTTGTTGCTAGATTCGATTCGTTTGAAGACCACTTTGAGAGGCAAAGGCAATTTGGAGTAGAGTTTTGCTCGGATTGAGGTAAGTAACACTTTCAAACTTGGTTCTGTTGGTTCGAAACCCCGAATTATGTATTATATGATTGGTATTGAGGTGGCGCACACGCCAAGTGATGGGCGTGTGGGCGTGCACCGTGAGAACTGCAACCTGGTTGATTCCATGGAACCGTATAGTGATACTATCTTGTTGATATATGTGCTTTCATCATGTGATAAAGTAATTGAGCTGTCAATCATGCTAGATATCATGTTTAGGCTTTATGCTAGTACTGTTGGGACCCTAGTGGTCGTTTCTTGCTGTCACTTTACTGGTTTCATTGATATTTCGTACTTAGTCATATTCATGATATTGTGAGCCCGTGAGTGAACTGGAGAGATTGATGACTGAGTGAGGCCGAGAGCCTGATTATGAGTGACAGTTACGGGATCGGGCTGCACGTCGCAGCGGTTATACTAATTTTATGATGACTGTAGGAGCCCCTCCAGAGTCTATACACACCCTTAGTGAGCGCGGTTGATATTATTGAGGGATGGATCTTCCCTGGACATGGATCTTGTCCGAAGCACTTGATACCTAGAGATGGATCTTCTCCACAGGGATGGATTATCCTTCCTCGGTACTGGGTGACTTATGGTCAGTGATGTATATATTCCAGGATGGATCTTCCGTGGGCCGTATAGACCATATACAATACCGAGTGGTTAAGCATTTGAGAGTGTGAGCATATGAGGCTGACAGTATGGTGCATCACATATAGCATGTGCATTGGCATGTAGAAATAGAAGAGTTATATTCTTCACATTGTTCAGATCTGATCTATTTCACTATTTTGAGCTATCTATTTAATTTGAAAGCATGCCTGCATTTCTGCATTGTTATTTCTATTGTTAACTGTATCGGTTGAGTTCGTCGCTACCTTTCAGTCGAGTTCGTTGCTACCTTTTAGTCCAAAGGTTGGACTTGCTACTTACTGAGTTGGTTGTGCTCACTTTACTCCCTGCACCTTGTGTGCAGATCCAGGCGCTTCTTGCTATGGCGACTGCTGATTGAGGAGTCAGATTCCAGAGATTATTGAGGTAGCTGCATGACGATCACAGCCTTGACTGTCCTTCACTATCTCTATTCGTATTTTAGTTCTATTCCCTAGAAACTGTATTCAGGAATATACGCTGATGTACTCTGTGACACTCAGGTTTTGGGATGGATTGTATCGTATTTTTGTTTGTTTCTTATTTCAAAAGGCCTTTCTTAAATATTAATTGCTCCTGTCTTTATTTCCAAAGTTTATAATGTATTGAGATATTGAGTATGGCTGGCCTAGTTCCACGATAGGCGCCCTTACGACGGTTGATTTTGGATCGTGACAAGTTGGTATCAGAGCCTACGTTACATAGGTCTCACGAGTCATGAGCAGGTTTAGTAGAGTCTTGCGGATTGGTACAGAGACGTCTGTACTTATCTTCGAGAGGCTGCCGAACCCTTAGGAAACTTCACATTCTTGAATTCTTGTCATGCGAATCTGTTGATTCTAGTAACTAAACTTCTGTAATTTTATTCTCTTATAGATGGTGAGGACACATACTACTGGGCAGGACAGACAACCACTAGTACCATCAGCCAGGGCCGCGAGAGGCCGAGGTCGCGGTAGGGGCAGAGGTGCAGCTCGCACATCAGCTAAGGCAGCACTTGCAGATCTATCAGTTGCCTAGTTCAGGAGCAGGTCCCAGTTGTGGATGCGCCAGTGGGGCCAGCTCAGGCGCCGCCCGTGCCCATTGCGATTCCAGGCCTTCAGGAGGCCTTAGCTTAGATTCTGACCATGTGCACCAGTCTTGCTCAAGCGGTCTCTATTCTGGTTGCAGGAGCCAATTCTCAGGTCGTGGAGGTACTCAGACTCCCGCCATGCGCACACCAGAGTAGGTGATGCACGGACTCAAAACACCGGGGGAACCACCAGCCCAGTCGGTTGCAGCTGCTCAGGACTATGTGGTTCCTGTCTTGCCTGACGATGAGCAGCATAGATTAGAGAGGTTTGGGAGACTCCAGCCTCCATCTTTTAGTGGTACAGAGGCGGATGTTGCACAGGGATTCTTGGATAAGTGTCAGAGGATGCTCCATATAGCAGGTATTCTACAGACCAGTGGGGTCTCGTTCACTACTTTTCAGTTCTACCACGACAGGGATCGTCCTTATAGCCATGCTTAGACGGCTATCCCAGTTCACCGTGGTGCATCATCTGTCCATGGTTCTCACAATTCTCATCAGGGTCACTCTTCTCACAATGCCTTTCCAGCTCAGAGTTTGTCTCATGCACCATCAGCTCAGGGTTCATCTATGTCGGGGCCTTTTAGTAGCTATCCCGGTGCTTGGGGCTCCCTTCAGTCCCCACCGCCATTTGCAGGGAGAGATTGCTTTACGTGTGGAGATATGGGTCATATCAAGAGGCACTGTCCCCGCCTCTCAAGAGGTTCAGCTCAGCAGAGGAGTCAGGCTACGACTTCAACACCCGCCCAGCTAGCTCAGGGTGGAGCTCAGTTAGCTAGGGGTCGCCTTAGAGGGGAAGGCTGATCAGGTGGCGGTCACGCCCGATTCTATGCACTCCCTGCCAGACTAGATGTTATTGCTTCAGACACAATGATCATAGGTATTGTCTCAGTATGTCATCGAGATGCCTATGTATAATTTTACCCCGGTTCCACCTATTCATATGTATCATCATATTTATCTCATTATCTGGATATACCCTGTGAGTCCTTAGTTTCATCTGTTCATGTGTCTACGCCACTGGGCGATACTATTATTGTGGACCGTATGTATCGGTCGTGTGTAGTGACTATTAGGGGATTGGAGACTAAAGTTGATCTTTTGCTACTTAGTGTGGTTGATTTTGACGTGATATTGGGTATGGATTGGTTGTCTCCGTGTCATGCTATTTTGGATTGCCACACTAAGACTGTGACGTTGATGATGCCGGGGTTTCCACAGATTGAGTGGCGAGGTTCCTTAGACTATGTTCCTGTAGAGTGATTTCATACTTGAAGGCCCAGCGGATAGGTGGGAAGGGTTGTCTATCTTACTTGGCCTTTGTGAGGGATGTCAGTCCGAGATCCCTACTATTGATTCTATCCCGGTGGTGAGAGATTTTCTGGATGTGTTTCCTGCAGACCTGCCGGGCATGCCGCCCGACAGGGACATTGATTTTGGTATTGACTTGGTGCTGGCCACTCAGCCCATTCTATTTCTCCATACCGTATGGCACTGACTGAGTTGAAGGAATTGAAGGAGCAGCTTCAGGAGCTCCTTGAGAAGGGGTTTATTAGGCCTAGTGTGTCACCTTGGGGTGCACCGGTTCTGTTTGTGAAGAAGAAGGATGACCTATGAGAATGTGCATTGATTATAAGTAGTTGAACAAAGTCACAATCAAGAACAAGTATCCTTTGCCGCGTATTGATGATCTATTTGACCAGCTTTAGGGAGCGAGGGTGTTCTCCAGATTGATTTGAGGTCTGGGTATTACCAGTTGAAGATTCGGGACTTGGATATTCTTAAGACAACTTTCAGGACCCGTTATTGTCACTATGAGTTCCTTGTGATGTCTTTTGGGCTGACCAACGCCCCAGCAGTGTTCATGCATCAATGAACAGAGTGTTTCGGCCTTATCTTCGACTTGTTTGTTATTGTGTTCATTGATAATATCCTGGTATACTCTCGTACCGAGGAGGAGCATGCCCAGCACTTGAAGGTTGTGTTGCAGTGGTTGACGGGGGAGAAACTTTATGCCAAGTTCTCCAAGTGTGAGTTTTGGCTCAGTTCAGTTGCGTTTTTGGGGCACCTGGTGTCCAGTTAGGGTATTCAGGTAGATCCGAAGAAGATAGAGGCGGTTCAGAGTTGGCCCAGACCGTCCTCAACTACAGTGATTCGGAGCTTTCTTGGTTTGGCTGGTTATTACCGTCGCTTCGTGCAGGGTTTCTCATCTATTGCATCGCCCTTGACCAAATTGACTCAAAAGGGTGCTCTTTTCAGGTGGTCGGATGAGTTTAAGGAGAGCTTTCAGAAGCTCAAGACTGCCTTGACCACAGCTACAATTCTAGTTCTACCATCAGCTTCTGGTTCTTATACAGTATATTGTGATACTTCTCGGATCGTTATTGGGTGTGTTTTGATACATGAGGGTAGCGTGATTACTTATGCTTCGCGTCAGTTGAAGCCCTCATGAGAAGAACTACCATGTTCATGATTTAGAGTTGGCTGCTATTGTTCAGGCATTGAAGATTTGGAGGCACTATCTCTATTATGTGTCCTTTGAGGTATTTACTGATCATCGTAGCCTCCAACACTTGTTCAAATAGAAGGATCTCAATTTGAGGCAGCGGAGATGGTTGGAGCTGTTAAAGGACTATGATATCACTATTTTGTATCACTAGGGAAAGGCCAATGTGGTAGCCGATGCCTTGAGTAGGAAGGCAGTGAGTATGGATAGTCTTGCATTCATTACTGTTGGTGAGAGACCTTTTGTAGTTGATGTTCAGGCCTTGGTCAACCAAATCGTGAGATTAGATGTTTCGGAGCCAGTCGGGTTCTAGCTTGTGTGGTTTCTCGGTCTTCCTTATTTGATCGCAGCACAGAGCGCCATTATGATGATCCTCATTTTCTTGTCCTCAAGGACAATGTTAAGCACGGTGATGCCAGAGATGTGACGGGCGTTGAGGATGCAGGGCCAGATATGTGTGCCCAATGTAGATGGGCTACGGGTGTTGATTCTTGAGGAGGCCCACAGCTTGCGGTATTTCATCCATCTGGGTGCCGCGAAGATGTATCAGGATTTGAGGCAGCACAATTGATGGAGGAGAATGAATAAAGATATAGTTGGGTTTGTAGCTCGATGTCTCAACTGTCAGCAGGTAAAATATGAGCATTAGAGACTAGATAGATTGCTTCAAAGGATAGAGATTCCAGAGTGGAGGTGGGAGCAGATCACCATGGATTTCGTAGTTGGACTCCCACGGACTTTGAGGAAGTTTGATACTATTTGGGTGATTGTAGATCAGCTGATCAAGTCCGTGCACTTCATTCCAGCGAATACTACTTATTCTTCAGATAGATTGACTGAATTTACCACCGAGGGATTGTCGCCTTCACGGCGTGCTGGTTTCCATCATTTCAAATAGAGGCACGTAGTTTACATCGCAGTTTTAGAGAGTCGTGCAGCGAGAGTTGGGCACTCAGGTGGAGTTGTGCACAGCATTTCACCCTCATACGGACGAACAGTCCGAGCGCACTATTCAAATATTGGAGGACATGCTACGCGCTTGTGTCATTGATTTTTGGGGTTCATGGGACTAGTTTCTGCCGCTTGCGGAGTTTGCTTACAACAACAGTTATCAGTCGAGCATTCAGATGGATCCATATGAGGCTTTATATGGGAGGCAGTGTAGATCTCCAGTGGGTTGTTTGAGCCGGGTGTGGCTAGGATTTTGGGTAAAGACTTGGTTCAGGATGCATTAGACAAGGTGAAATTAATTCAGGAGCCACTTCGTATGGCGTAGTCGAGACAGAAGAGTTATGCTGATAGGAAGGTCCGTGATGTGTCTTGCATGGTTGGGAAGAAGGTTCTGCTAAATGTTTCACCCATAAAGGGTGTTATGAGATTTGGGAAGAAGGGAAAGTTGAGCCCTCGGTTTATTGGGCCGTTTAAGGTACTTCTGAGGATTGGAGAGGTGGCCTACGAGCTTGCCTTGCCACCTAGTTTGTTGAGTGTGCATCTATTATTTCATATTTCTATGCTCCGGAAGTACGTCGGCTATTCGTCTCATGTCTTGGATTTCAGCGCGATTCAGTTGGATGGTGATTTGACTTATGATGTGGAGCCGGGGGCCATTTTGGATCGGCAGGTTCGAAAGTTGAGGTCAAAGGATATAGCTTCAGTGAAGGTGCAGCGGAGAGGTCAGCCCGTGGAGGAGGCTACTTGGGTGACCGAGCGGGAGATGCAGAATATATATCTACACCTATTTGAGACTTCAGGTATGTTTCTAGACCCATTCGAGGACGAACGTTTATTTAAGAGAGGGAGGATGTAACGACCCGGTCGGTCGTTTCGAGAGTTGTAGCCGCGTTCCCCATTTACTGCTCCTTTTGTATTCTACAGCTGTTATATGACTTACCGGGTTAGTTGGTTGGGGTCCGGAGAGATTTTAGAGTGAATTGATACAATTAGTCTCCTAATTGAAAGCTTAAGTTGGAAAAGTTGACCGGATGTCGACTCATGTGTAAACGACCTCAGATTTGAGTTTTTATGGTTCCGTTAGCTCCTTTAGGTGATTTTGGACTTAGGAGCATGTCCGGATAGTGATTTGCAGGTCCGTAGTAGAACTAGGCTTGAATTGGGGAAAGTTGGAATTTTGGAAAGTTTGACCGGGAGTGGACTTTTTTCTATCGGTTCGGATTGGATTTCCGGAAGTTGAAGTAGGTTTGTGGTGTCATTTATGACTTGTGTGAAAAATTTGAGGTCAATCGGACGTGATTTGATAGGTTTCGACGTCGTTTGTGGAATTTGGAAATTTCTAAGTTCGTTAGGCTTGAATTCGTGTTTTTGATGTCTTCTGAGGTGATTTGAGGGTTCAACTAAGTTCGTATTGTAATTTAGGACTTGTTGGTATGTTTGGTTGAGGTCCCAAGGTCCTCGGGTTAATTTCGGGTGTTAACGAACTTGATT